CGAGCGGGCATGGAAAGAAGGCATACTTGGTGGCGAACGAAAAATCGTCCCTTTCGTGCTAATGATCCAGAACAGCGACAGGTCAGGAGAATCACCGGGCTCTGAAATGCATTTTAGGAGCACAGGTGTGCAAAGCGAGTGGCGAGTGGATCGAGGGAGACGGAAGGGGCCTAGGAATCCTGTGGGGCTGCGTGATGTCCGGGTAAAGCTCTGCCTGTTGGGGAAGTCTGCCGGAAGCTCAGGTGGGCCGGCTGAATACCTGTAGCATGGAGTCAGACAGGGCCACGGATTGAGGTAGGTCTTACTACCGCGTAGTTAATCCTTAGCATTGTCTACTGTGCTCCCCCCTTAACCAAAGTTAAACTTAATTTTTAAATGTCTGGATGAAGGGGAGATTTACTGTTTAGAAGGACTCTCTCTTCTTTTGTTGGGCTGAGGGTAGTACTGAGACTGAGGATTGAATCCAGGGCCTGCACGTGCTAGCCGAGCACACAACCACTGAGCTACCATCCCCTCACCTGCTAGCCCTTTTAACTTTTGAGAAAGGGGTTCCAAGTTGCCCAGGCTGGCCTTAAATTTGTCATCCTCCTGCCTCAGCCTTCCCAGCAGCAGGTATTACAGGCATGCCTCATAGTACTCAGCAAAGAGTAGTCTTTTTTTCTTGATACAGGGAATCAAACTCCACCTTCCGTTTGCCAGGCAGGCACAGTGCCACTGAGCTACATCCCCAGCCCAAGAGTAATCATTTTTAAAGCAAATAAATCACATCTAAACTTATCTATTGCTAAATCTGTTTGGGAGGGTGTTTTTCATAGATGGCTGTCTACAAAGGAGTAGTACTAGTAGTGAAGTATAGCTTTTCTATTGCATTTAATGTTTTCCTGTAAGTCACTTAATCTGCCTGGTAGTATGTTGAAATACTAGTTAAGGCCATTGTTGATTTTAGCTCTCTTGCAAGGATAGGATCTGAGAGACGGCCTGATAATGTTATCTCTAGATGCAGGCTTCTTACTCTATTTATGTTCAGAGCTTTGTAGATGGAAGATCATGACTGACTAGCAGGAACAACAGAGTTCCTCTGTTTCTGACCGATTAAGGGTTCTGTACCCTACAGGCAAGACAATGCAGTGTCCTCAGTGACCCCTGGGAACATAGTCTGAGCTGAAAGGCAGACCTGGGCACCATACACAGTGAGTTTCCAGAGTGCCCGGACTGGGGATGTGGTTGTGAAGAGGACGATTACAGCCTGTGCCCTCTAGTGGTTTGCACAGTTTTTAATACAGTACTGTGTGCATGAGGGGCTCTATGGCACCATGGTGAACAACACAGACTCCAGCCAGGTGACCTTGCTGCAGTCTTGGTGTCTCTTTGGGCAGACCTGGGCCTCCTTTCTCTGTGCCTGCATCTTGTTGTTTGCAAATAGGCTTAGTATTACTTACTTTATAGTTGTTCAGAGCCTTACATGAATGAATGTGTGTGCGACCCGGTATAGTACCTGACAAGGGAGTGATGATTGCTGTTTTGGTTAATGAGCAAGGGTGGCAAACAAAAAACAAGTACTGCTGATGCTGAGCTTTACACTGCAGCATTGATGTACTTGGAATTGCTGCTGATGCTTGAATTTAACTTTTTTTTTACTGTTCCCTGTTCACATTGATGTAGGATAAACCTCAAACATTTGAAGGTACGAGAGTAGCTAGCTGCTAATATTTCTTAGTTGCTAAGGTTTCTCCCCAGAATATTCAGAGATAGAGGGTCTTTGAACATATGACCAGTTGAAGGACCACTTGGTATCTTTTGTGAGGGAGAACAAATCTGGTCATGGTGCCTACGTACAGGGCGAGATGGTTACTAAAGGTTTTTGTCACATCCTGAAGAAGGTGGAGAAAGGCTGGGGCATGAAGTTGTAGAGAGAATGGAGTGTAGGCTGCCCTTAGGGCTAGGTAGGTAGCTTAGGAGCAGGAGTCTGCATACCTTGTCTTCCCATTCTGCCAGGCTAGATCCCAGCCAGCCCATGGTGTGGGAAGAGGTTACTTCCTGGTCACCTCTGCAACCTGATTGCCTTTCTTGAATGCAGACCTTAACTGGTGACGAGAGTCATCCGCAGCTGTGGTGGCAGGAGAGGATGCAGGTAGGGTCCAGGTCTTGGAACAGGGACAGTGCTAGACCTTAGTACAAGTCTCGGTTCTTTTGTTTTAATTTGTCCCTGGACAGAGTCACTAGAGTTGGGGAAAGGATTGGTCAGAGACTGACTTGGCTAATAACTTTCAGGGGGGAAACATACCCAATCATAATACTTGAAAAATAGATGCATTGCCTTATATATCAGATGGTCATAAAGACAAGTAAGTAAAAGTCATTATGTACTATTCAAGTGAAGTTTAGGAGAAAGCTTAAAAGTCATATTTTTCAGTAGTGTATCATGAAATTTTGGGGGGATTTCACAATGAAAGCAAACCAGGATTTCCTTTGAATAGATGTCTCAGCAGATTCAGAGTTGGATAAAAACCATTTGAATTTTTAGGACTTATTCTATTTGTTGAATAATGGAAGGCAGTACAAAACTGTAGACTTCTAGAGAAAGTTATTTCAAATTTCTGTTGTATTCCAAAAATGTAATTTTGATTTTCATGGAAGTTGCTAGACTTCTAAGATGAGTAAGATAGGAATTAAAATTAGTAAGATTCCATGAGATAATACTTAGAAAAATAATTTCATTGAAAGAGTTTGACTAAATTTAAACTTTTTCGATCCCAGGTACCAAAGAAAATATATAAAATAAAATAAAATTTAAACTTTTATCATAATAACATTGAAGACTTATTTTTAAGGAATGTTCTACAACATGCAATAGTTTAAAGTGAATTTTATACACCTTATTCTTCTTAATGGTTCTGTGATGTGTAGGCTGTGGCATTCTGATACTGATAAATACCTCAGTTGGTGCCCAAAGGGACTAAATTATTTTTTTCATTGAGTTTATTGGTACTTTTTAAGTATATAGTACAGTTACATTTATCATTGGGATCTTGTATCTTTACATGACAGATCTCATTTTTTCCCCATATCCCTTGAGTTATTTTAAGGAACACAACTCTTTAAGTTCAGACAGAATTTTAACCTAGGCTTTCTGATTATAAATATTGTCTCTTCTTGAAGTTGCCCAGTTTTCAGCATTGAACAGCTCAGACTTGTAGACAATTTGTTGAAGCCATGTTTAAAATATCCTTGAAAATGAATGTAGGATGCTGCGTGTGTCTTAATTTTACTGAGAGGGGGCGGGGGTTGGAGCTTGAGTGTAGTATAGCTTATTTAGTCTGTGTTCACCAAGCAGGATGTTGAAGAGCTTGTGAAACTGTATGATGGTGTATACCATGCCACAGGTTTCTTCATTGCTGAAGTTGTAGAATGTAAAAAGGGTGACTTTTCCAGACTTGAGGACAGTGTTGAAGCTGAGTGTGGAAATGAAGGCTCTAGAATCTGCCGTGGCTCCACCCCTCTTTGTCCCTAGGCCCTCCCACAGCCTTGGAAAACCAGCCCTGGTCCCTGGGAAAGTGAGGTGCAGAGCACTGGCCGTGTCCACTAGCCTCCAATGAATCATTGGGAAATCCTCAGAAGGTGCCCTTGAACGTGATGCTATTCAGATGTTATTCAACAGGGACTGAGAGAGTGAGTCATGAACTTGGTAACATGTTGGGATTGCCACCAACAAGACTGAACAGGAGAAATCTTTACTTAGGAGTAGAACAACTGATAATCCTAAAAAAGAGTACTTTAAAAATGGGTTTAGTGCTACCCATCTGTGTCTAGAATCAGTCACAATGCAAACCAGTTCCTTACATAGAATCTTAAAGAAAAAAGGGAAAATCTCTTTGTAGCTGGGCATGGGCTTATAGCTGCATGAAATACAGCAAATGAAACAAAAAAGAACACCAAGACTAAATCATAGTTTTGTTTGTTCTTGCCTATGAAAGATACCTTGCTAAGTAAGTTCAGAAGTTGGTCAGTGGTTTGCTATTTCTGGTCCTTTTGCCTCAGTTTTTCCAAATCCATTCCCTGACTGCTAACTGGGGCTCTAAAAAGCTAAGAAAACTTACAAATTGGAGTCAGATCTGAGGAGGAAGATCTAAGGTGATCTGCCAACTCAAAGATCTGTGTTAAAAGCAAGGCAAGGCTTACAGAGGTCACGGAATACAGTTTTTTAAAATCCAGGGCCAAAATCCCATAGGCATGTTTCCCACTTTGTGCCTAAGACATCGAATGAGGTGGCATTTCGTGTGTGTGTGGTTTGACTTTGCATTTCAGTGATGCAGTGATGTTTGGTTGTATGTTCAGTTACTGTCTTCTTCGGTGAAGTGTCTGTCCACATCTGTTGCCCGTCTTCCTGTTGGATTATTTTCTTAGTAAATATGGAGAGTTCTTTATATTTCCAGATACAGGTCCTTTCTCAAATATGTGATTTGGAGGTATTTTCTAGAAGGTGGCTTTTTGCTGTCTTAATGGTACTCAAGAGAGCTGAAGTTTTGAATTCTGATTTTTATCACTTTCTCATAGATATTCTTTAGCAGGTTGAGTAAATTCCTTGAATTTTTAAGAACTTTTAAGAAATTAGGAATTGCTGTTGGGTATATTTTTGGTTTTTCAAAAGGATGAGTTACATTGACTTACATAATAAACTCTATTAATTTAGAGGGATTTCAAACATACACAAAAGCAGATGAATCACCATGTATCCATCACTTTGTGTCAACTTAATTGCACCCCTCTTCTATCATGTGAACTTGGAGGAGAAAACAGATAGCCAGCCAGGGTCCTCACCTGAAGAGACCACTCCAAAATGTAATTAATAATGGACATGATTTAAGACAAGAGAATTATTCCAATCTCACTCAGACTTTTTAAGCTGTCAGTGTTAGAGTGCATCAGTGCTGCTTGTCTGAATCAGTTAATGCTTACTACCTGACTTTCTGTTCCACAGGAGCGCTTGCCCTTCTTCTTTATTCCTTTGTTTGAATATGCAGAGACCCAGAATTGAGGACTGTTTTGTTCTGTTTTGGTTTGGGTTTTTTTTCCATGCTGGTCAAATCCAAGGCCTTGCACATGCTATACAGGTACTGTACCACCGCACTCCATCCTCATCCCTCTTAAGATGACTGTCATAAAAAGAATTTAAATATTCTACCTTTCATTTTCTCTTTCTTTTTTCTTTTTTTTGGGGGGAGTACGGAGGATCGAACTCAGGACCTTGCACTTGGGAAGCAGGTGTGGTGCCACTGAGCTAAATTCCCAGCCCTCATTTTCTAAAGTGTAAAGACAGAAAATAGAAAAGAATATTTGGCAGGTTATGGTTGTTTGGGCAGCAAAAGCAAGGGAAAAACCTGAAGGTGAGGACAGACTGTCATCCTTTTTCTGATTGATAGGCTATTTTCAGAGGTTATGTGAGGCCTAAAAGAGTGTTGTGATCAAGCTTGGTAAAAGTTAGATTGTGCAGATGAATTAGTTCTCTTAGGTGCCGTACCCTTCCAAAGCATTAACATGCTGATGGATGGTGAGTGTCCTAGGGAAGCATGTTAAAGTGACCCTTGATTCTAAGTACTTCTGTGCTATCTTTCATTCATTCAGGTAGAGTGAGATGGTGGTAACACCACAGGGCAGTGGTCTTAAAGCTTTGTTACTGCATGCTTGTAAAATAATTGGGAAAACTCTATCACTCATACTTTTTAAAGTTGGTACCCAGTATTTTCTTTATGAGATATTTTCAGAGGGTGTAATTTCCAGTGTATTATGAATATTTTGAGAATAAAATTTTTGTCACTTTCATACCACAGCCCATGTGGCTGAAGGGTTTACAGATTGAGAAATAACTTTGCTTGCATCCTGAGCGCCTTTATTTATAGTGTAGGTAAGGAAACAGAAAGGGGATGCCTGGTTGGAGCAGATAGAAGGCTAGTGTCTGCAGGAGATAATGTTTGATGTTTCTCTGGCTGATAGGTGTTAAGGAAGATAGTCCTCTACTCGGCCAGGCCTTGCTCCACCATACCTTCCTGTCACCTGTTCTGCGGGGGTCCTGCCTCATCAGTGGTAGGAGGTGAGTTAGTCCTAGCCGTAGTGATCAACAGCATGTCATTCCCATCATCTCCTTCGGTTGTTCTGTAGCTGCATCTTGTGATGATGTCTCAAGGCAAGTTCAGTGAGTTGTGCTAGGAAGACTGCAGAGAAGTAGCAAACATTATTAGTAGCTACAGGAAAATCAGAATTTTCATGACTGTAGCAATGCTGTGTTGGGCCAGGTTGAAAGGGTTGAATCCTTTTAATAAATCAAGAACCGTGTCCTCGGGGGTGAAGAAACTAACATGAGCATGTTGAATGGACAGGATCTGTTGATGGAGCTTTGGGAGATCTAGGGTAAGATTGGTATGATGAAAGATACCCATCAAATGTGCAGCAACCTATTTCCAATCCCATTGTGACTCATTGTAAGAAAGAGCAGTGACATAAATGTGAGGTTTCTCAGCAAGGCACTGCAATCCTTGATGGTACTGTAGGGCTTTGACTTTATTATCAATCTCTAGCACTGTAGCTTCTCAGGCATTAGCCTGTACTTTTAACTTAATATCAACATCTTTTTGGGTCTGAAGGACATAAGAGGTATTTTTTTATTCAATGATTGACAAACTGTATATTTTGTGTTAAGGCTACCAATGTAGCCACAGTGGTGGCAAGCAAAGTAACTGGAGACATGATTTCTAGAACAGTAAGTCCCATCATCTGACAGGTGAATGAGCTGTCTGTGTATTTTTTTCAGAACTTGTAGTCTACAGTCATAATACCAAGGGCTAGAAATATCAGTGTATCATGACAAAAGACGACCTATATAATATTAGCACATCTTTATTAAAGTTAGTAAGGCAGGCAGTAAGGTTACAATTTTTGTAACTGACATTAAAAGAATCCTTTTTAGGAGTAATATTGACCTGTCCAGTTAGGAGTATATAAGGGTTTTGTACACAAATGTGTGTCTAGATTTTATTGACCCCTGTGTGACTCCTGTCCTTCAAGCTATGACTAGAAGAGTGATCACTGGCAGCCAATTGCTAGAGATCTCTTTGGAAGAACTAAGATGATGTATGTAGTGTGGATTCCAGAAGATGGCCAGTAACATTGTATTTTGTATGAGATCAAATTATATTTTGTATAACTGTTTCATTTACTTCATGGGTGCAACAGTCCTCTCAAGGAGCATACTTTGAGAGAGGAACATAATGAGTGACATCATGGCAAGAAGAGAGAGGGCAGAAAGGGTATGAGAATTATCTTTTGAGATAATATTGAAATTAGTAATTAGCACCAACTCGTCTTGATTTATGCCTGGTGCATTACAGACAGTGACTGTCTTTTCAGTTACCCAAAGTGAGAGACGGAGTGGGAGGCCTGCTTTTGTCCCGCTGTAATTGTAGGTGTAGATGGAGGAGAGATATGTAAGCCTCGGAACAACCCCCAAGACATCAGCCTGATTGGAAAGTATAGGTACAGAAATAAGAGTTTCCCAAGGAAAGGGATGAGCAAAGGCAGGTCTGAGTTTGTCCTCTGTAGGAACACAAGCGTGCCCTGAATCCTATGTTATTGATGGCATTGAACCATAAAAACCTATTAGTTAGGACATCCTTAGACAATATTTATATCGAGGACATGTCTGTAGAATTATCTTAGTATCGATGCAGTTTTGTTAGAGAATATTTACTTTCCATGAATGGATTTAAAATTTTTAAATGAAGGCAACTAGAGAAGGTGACAAAATCTAATTGAGCTTGTAGAGGTAGCTGTACTCTCCTAGTTTATATAAATGTGTTTTTAGGGAAAAGTGAGTATACCCAACAATGGCTTTTTTTTTTTAATGGGTTATAGGACCTGTAATGAGTAGAACTGGCCTAGTTGTCTATAATAAGCTCTTTTTGAAAGGGCTATTCCCAGTTGTGGTTGTAGGAGAAGGGGTGCAGGTATCATCTGACTGTTTTGAGCTGAAAAGGGTTGATGTAAGGCAGACCGCAATTTAGGGACCCCTTTTAGGGAGCTAGTTTAATAGGCCTTCAATAAAAATCATGTGGTAATTAGTAATTATAAACTCTCTTTATAAAGTCAATCTGGTGGGTTTTGGTAAAGAAAAATGTCCAGCACATTTGATGTTGATAATACCTTTATGATCACTTTGAGTTTGGCAGCCTGTAAGCTTATAGGCTTGTCTTATAGGCGAGAGTAAACAAAAATTTTTAAAGAAACTAGAGCTTGTATAGTCAAGATATAACCACTAAACTAAAAAGGTGGTTTTGGAAAACAGCCATGTCAAGAAACTGTTTTTAAGAGACTAAATTAGTAAATGAAACTTACTGACCTATTGACCCTCTAATAATGGAGATGATCTATAAGTCTTGTTATTTTGTCATATTTTTAATTGTAGCTATAAAAGGACTAGAAACTTAATAATTTCAAAAAAACAATTTGAACCAAAGTATTTTAAAGACAGTTGTTGAGTTTGTATAAATTTTACTATGATTTTACCTAATGACCCATAACAGTGGCTACCAGTGTATCTGGAAACTGTCAGAAGGGGTCAGCAATTGGAGCCTCTTGAAGTCTATCTATATAACTATGTTTTTTATTTTATATATCTGTAGTTATACTTTTTTATTGGGTGTTTAAGGCCAACTTTTAGTGAGACCTGCGTTAAATAAAATGAACTTCTTGCTGTCTATCAAGGTCAATCAGGTCTCCTCAGGCAGTGTCTTGGAACCATGGGCAGAGCCTCTCAGCTACTGTCATTGTCAACCATCAGGATATGTCACGGCCTTGCTTGACCATGTTGCATTCTGTGAAAGCATAGGAGACATTTTTCTTCCAGGTAATATTCCTTTGGCAAATAGCAGATGTAGCTTTGGTGTCCAACAGTCTCCCTGCTCAGGAGGGTGAGTGACTTACCCAAAATATAGAAAAGATTTTTTTTTTTTTAATGTCCTGGATCTTTGTTGACATTGGAGGGCCAGAGCCAAAATATTGGCTGTCGTCTTAGCCCAGTTGGGATCAGTAGGAGATGCCTGATAAGAACAAGACAAAAAAAAATGGCTAGGGTCTACAAGAAATAACGTTTGATGTTTCTCTGGCTGATAGGTGAGAAAGAAGGTAGTCCTCTACTTGGCCAGGCCTTGTCCTGCCACGCCCTTCTGCTGCCTGTTCTCCTCCTGTGGGGCCCTGCCTCATCAATGGGAGGAGGTGAGTTAGGCCTGGCTGTAGTGATCTACAGCACATCACTCCCAACACTTTAAGATGGAATGTAAACACCATAGCACATGATACATATTCTCCTTTATTCTTTAAAATCCATGAGTAAACTCATTAAATTGATAATGCTACCTTTTTCTTTTTGATCTCTCCATTTGCCACACAGAATTTTATTCTAATGTATTCTTTAATGTTACAGTTTTGATTGCCCTCTTTTTTGTACCAAAAAATGTGTATATAAGTCTGAGTGTAGGTGCACACCAGTAATCTGAGCCCTTGGGAGGCTGAGATGGGAGAATCACTGTTTGAGGCCAGCCTGAACTACGTAGCAAGACTCTTATCTCAAAATAAATACACACACACACACACACACACACACACACACACACGCACTCAGGCGCGCACGCAAGGTGGGGGAGGATATAAAATTTGCATTTCCTGTAGCTGGCTGGGCCTCATAGCACACGCCAGTAATGTGGCTGAGACAGGAGGATGGCAAGTTCAAAGCCAGCCTGGGCTAAGGTAATAAGACCTTGTCTCAGAATCAAAACAAAACAACAAAAGCCACTGAAATTTTCTTAAAAACTTAAAATTTTAATTTTTCTGTAGCGTTTCCATTATTACTGTTAATATTCAGTTAATGATCCAGATATATTACAAATCATGCTAAGCAGTAAACAAAAAGTTTTGTGGAAAAGGCAGCTAATGAATGAGGTTTTAAAATTTTAATCATGGATATATATATATATATAT